GAGCTGAAGTCGGATGCTTAACCGACTGAGGCACCCAGGTGCCCCTGTTCTATTTATTCTTAAAGCCAATCATAGACTTACCCCTTCACAGCTTGGGTTACACAATAACTCTCTTTTTTGCCTAAGATACTTCATTTTACTTTTGGTCACTTTAATCAAAATATCCTGACAAACTCAGACACAAAATAAGAAAATAAACCCATAATTGAATGAAAGTTTGTGAACATATATACACATCTATTAAGAATGCAAAAATTACCTTTATTAACCCAGTGTTTTTTGGGGGGCACCTTCTGTATGTGAAACATTTTATTAGTGAAATGAATAGGACAAAGTCCATTTCCAGGCATTCACAGATTTATTCATCCTACAGTCTGTGTTTATGTTTACCAATGTACATACCCTCCTGTAATATGTCCTCACTACAATCCCCCTGTACTTATTTGACAAATGCAAAATAGAAATGAGTTCAAGAAGGTCTGGTTTGTAAAATACACAAATGGAAGGACCACAAAGGTTAATGGGGAGAATTTCAGGATATTCAGATCTCTAAGGGCAATTACCAGACTCTCCCCAAAAATGCTGCCATCACAGTCAAAACAGTTGCTAGGCAGGACTAGGGGTGTGGCCTTGTGACAATTCTTTTATTCTTAATAAGCCAAATGTTTCTCAATTCTATCATAACTAAAGTAAAAAGAAGAAAGGAAAAGTAATTTGGAATATATCACTTTAGGCCCACAGGACAAGGCATGTTGGATTCACTCAGGTGTGTTTGTTTTAATAGCTGATCTGAAGGCACGTGAGATACCCCAGCTGACCAGACTCTAAATAGAAAAGCATAGAACTTAAAACTAAGGACGCATGCAGCATGGAATAATAATCAAGTTAGGCTTCTTAAAATGCTAAATGCCATAAAACCTGAAACCATTAGGGCAAAGTCCACACAACAACACAGGCCGAAAATTCTGTTTCTCAGACAGGCTTTTAGAAGGCTCAAATTCTAAGGTGCTACCTAAAAAGTAGGGTCAAAGATGCGTCTTATTTGAGAACCCGTGTTCTTCTTCCCAAGATATTTGGGTAGGCTTATTCAACTCTCTTTTTAAGAAAAAGCGGATTATTGTCACCGAAAGTGCAGAAACAGCAGCAACAGTTCTCAGGGAAAGGGCTGAGCTTTAACAGCTGTCTCTAGTTGGATAATCACCCACTACATTCTGGGCTGGCACACAGCAGAGTCACGTTAACGAGGATACACTGCACAGGAGGTCTGTGCATGAGATATCCCTAAATTCCTCACCTCTGGAGGGCGGATAATATGTGGGGAGATAGGCGTGCAAAAGGGTAAAAGGCTAGCTAGGAAGGATCCAAGGTGGCTCCAGGGAGAGGCGTGGTGGCCCCCGGGGACTGACTAGCTTGGCCTCGCGCCAAACGGGCTTTCTTGAGGATGAGTGTGGGGGTGCACCGAGAGGACTCGACAACTTCTCTGCCTGTGTTACAAACAGACCTCAAGAGTGGAAAACTCCAGCCCAGTGCCCGGAGCACTCGGTTTTCCGGACCCAAGCAGCCGCGGCTCCGCCCCTCGGTTTCCCACCCTGCCTGGCCACGCCTCTCCTCTCCTAACCCGGCCCGGGCCCCGCCCCCGCCACCTCCCACCACCATTCCCTTCGGCTCCTGGTTCCTGCTAGGTTCGGCAGCAGTGGGAGCGCGCAGGCGCGGCTGGAGGCTCGCAGAGCTCAGAGTAGCGGCGCGGGGCGCGCGGTAAGTGAGGTGTTGGCGCCGGGATTGTGGCTGGGGAACCAGGTTCGCGTCGAACATCCTGGCAGGGTTGGGGGAGTGTGCGGGTGAGTGCCCGGGGAATCTTCGGTCCCGGGAAGAGAAATTGGCCGGACGTGAGGCAGGGGGAGTTGGCCGCGCTGCCTAAGAGTGTCCAGCTCCGGCCGCGTGGGGAGCGGAGTACGTGGTGGCGGGAGTGAGTGAGGGTTTGTGTGAGGAGAAAAATAGGAGGGAAGGGCTCTAGAGACTGAAGTCCTTACTCAGGCTTGGCAGGACCGGGAGGCTCGCCAAGGGCGCTGGAGGGTGTCCCAGCTTCAAGTTCAGTATCCCCTTCTGGGTGCCCCTGAGCGACGTCCCGGGCCCATCCCTTCCCCCGCCCCGCCTCTCAGAGTGCGGAGTTGCCAGGAACGTTCCTGGTTTGGGGGAAGAGGATTTGGGGAAGGTAGGCTCTCGCCCCTGGGTAGTGCCAAGGAGGGCGTGGCGTTCGTGTGACTTTCCTTCACCCCGCCTCCGGGAATGTGTCCGTCTTCTGGTACATTGTGCTCATGGACTTTTTAACAAAGGCTATGACTGTTTTCTAGGCAGTGGCGGGTGACAGCGGGGGCGGGTCGGTGGGAGGGGGGCGCGTACGAGGTCGCGGTGTGGTCCTGGGGGACGGGGGCGGGGGCCGGCGTGGAGGGAGTGGAAGGAAGGGAACAACCTTCCTGCCTCAGCTTTTTCCTTCTTCCTGGTCCGCTGATTTTGATCAGTGGTAAGAACAGCCTCAAGAGGGATATGATTGGAAATCAGTGTGTGTTCGGACTCTGGCTGCAGCCGTTGGTTTTGTAACTGTGCTGTTGATGTATTTTCTAAGTGTCCCTTCAGAAGGGGAAAAACGAAACTAATGAAATCGAAGAGGAAATAATTGAACGAAAGGGTGAAGAGGTGGAGTGTCAAAACTTAGAGCTAAATTAATGCCTTCTGGTAGTCATAGTATAAATAAAGCCAGACTTTGAAGGATGTGAAGGTGTGCAAGTCAGGGGAAGTGAGGAGATTAGGGTGCTGTTGATTGTTTCAATCAAGAGGGAATTATTGGATGTGTGTGTGTGGAGGTGTTGCCAAGTTCTTGGATAGACTCACTTTAGAACCCTTACAAATGATATTGAGAATATAAAACACTAGGGCAAATACTGTAATATTGGATAAGGTTCCAGGGCTTTCATTTGCAAAATTAGAGTCTTTATGAAAAGTAGTATGTGTGTTTTCAAGCATAAATGTTGATTTTTTTACTCATCTGTTTAACTTAATACAACAAAACAAACAACTTCTTCCTCCTCCACCCCTTTCCCTTGATTGTGAATCCTGTTTTATAAACATTTAACTTTCAGATCTAAAGTGTTTAAAGGCACCCCCACCCCCAAAGTGAACAGGATTTCTTCATGTGTTGTCATTTTACTCTTTCTTTTCCTGTTATTTTAAGTTAAATTCCATGAACATTACCAATTTTGGGGAGGGAGGTGTTAGGGATACCTTTTCCTTTTCCAGTGCTTAATGGACCCTTGTTCATCCTTTCAGACTCAGCCCAAATTTTTCTTGGAAAAATTTGCAAACTCTCCCAGAATGAATCAGTCGCTCTCTTTTCTGTTAAACTAATACCACTGGTCTTATTTCTTTCTTGGAACTAGAACCTCAGTCTTCTGTGCTACCCCAAAACCTAGGGCTTCTGGGTATGTATTAAGTGCCTAATAAATGCACTTACATGTAGATGTTAATAAATGCTGTTAGAAGATAATTCATATTGTGTAAAGTTAATGGGATAATAAAAGAAATGCAGAATACTGAAATTATATGTAATTGAACGACATTATTTGGAATGTGGATAAGAAAAAGTGTGGCAATAAGTCCCCATTTATTAGTCTGGTTTATCCTTCTAAAAGAGGTGGAAAAGCTTTGCAAATATAGGCAAAATAGGCATCAGAAAAGGGCAAAATTTAAAACAGGTCAGCTTCTGATACTGAAACTACTGAAAAGTCCAACATAAAACTGAAGATTAATCTTTTGTAGAAAGACACTAACTGGGTACTGCTGTAATTTAGGAATTTGCAAGTGAATCAAGCTGGCCAGATGGTATCCTCTGAAGGCTAATAATGTAACTAAAGAAACTAACCTATTAGACCAATTAGAGAGTCTAATCAGTTGTGTTTAGAAGGAATACTTAAAAGCCTTAAGGTGGTTTGAACATTTGGCTAATGGGCCTCTTCATGTGTTAGTACCCTCAATAGGCTTGGCCCCACTATTTCTGCAGCCTGTTTTTGACATCTGTCTTAAGTCTAGCATCATCATTGTCTTTACAGTCACCTTTGGCTCTTGAAAGAAATTATCTTCCCTTTGCTCCCTACCACTCAAGCTCATCACCCCCTACCTAGCTTTCATCTCCTCAGTGGATTTACTGACTGGAGACAATATCATGAACAAAATGATCACTCAGTTTAGAAGTGAGTATAATTGACACGAGTCTCAAAATGAGTCAAGATGGGCTACTTGGTTAGTCTGTCTCATCCCAGCAAAGCGGATAACTGACTTCTATTTTACTCCTTTCATTTTGTTCCCTCTTGATCTAAATGTGAAGTTTTTATTTCTGTCACTTAAAAAAAATAATAATGTTAACCATTGTTCACCCCCAAACACTTCAAGTTAGTACCTGGTTTTTATGAGAAAACCTTGGGTCTCAGAGAGGATGAGTAGAGTCCATGAAACTTTTTAAAAGAAGTTCTACAGGGGCACCTGGGTGGCTCAGTCGGTTAAGCTACCGACTCTTCATTTTGGATCAGGTCATGATCTCCTGTTTCTTGAGTTGGAGCCCCACATCGGGCTGTGCGCTATCAGTGCTTGGGATTCTCTCTTTCCTTCTCTCTTTGCCCCTCCTTCTCTCTCTCAAAAATAAATAAACATTAAAAAAAAGCTCTGCCAAAAAAGGTTGGAGGGTGCTCCTGGGTAGCTCAGCTGGTTAGGCAGGTGTGGAGCCTGCTGGGGATTCTCTCTCTCCCTCCCCTCTGCCCATCTCCTGCTCACACTCATGTATGTGCGCATGAGCTCTCTTTCTCAAAAATAAACAAATAAAGTTCTACATACATCCTTTGTGGCCTTTAGACTCGCTTACTGAAAAAGATACTCCAAACCAATGTGGTTAAGGCTTCCTTTTTTTTTTTTAAGTTTATTTATTTATTTTGAGAGAGAGAGTTTGTGAGCAGGGGTAGGGGCAGAGAGAGAGGGAGAGAGAGAATTGCAAGTGGGCTCCGTGCCCTACTTGGGGCTCCATCCCACAAACTGTGAGGTCATGACCTAAACCCAAATTAAGTCAGTCACTTAACTGACTGAGCTACCCAGGAGCCCCAAGTCTTCCTTCTTAAACTTTCTTCACCTAGAGTTCCTCTTCATATTTCTATTTTTTTCCTCTCATTCTTTGTTGAGACAACCCCAGCCACTTCCACTGAGCCATCTTCTTAGGGTCTGTCCAAGACTCTCTTTCCCACTCTGTGCAGGATACAGTATGATCATCAAGGGCATGGAATATGGAGGCATTTGTTAAACTTCTTTGTCAGTTTCTTCATTTATAAAAATAATGGTTATAATATTTACATGGTAAGTGAGGTCAGGAATATTATAGTTTATAATGTTTAACACATACTAATTGCCCTAAAAATGGTACTATTGTTATTTGTTTTTTTTTTAATTATTTTCAATGTTTATTTATTTTTGAGAGATTGAAATGGAGTGTGAGTGGGGGAGGGTCAGAGAGACAGAGGGAGACACAGAATCTGAAGCAGGCTCCAGGCTCTGAACTGTCAGGACAGAGCCCTATGCAGGGCTCGAACACACTAACAGTGAGATCATGACCTGAGCCTGAGCTGAAGTTGATGCTTAACTGACTGAGCCACCCAGGTGCCCCACGTACTATTGTTATTTGTAATTGCCATTTCTTATGAGGAATATAATTTCAGTAGCAGTTAATTCCAAAATGTGATTGTATTGGGGCACTTGGGTGACTCAGTTGGTTAGGAGTCTGACCTCAGCTCAGGTCATGATTTTGCAGTTTGTGGAATTCAAGCCCTGCGTCAGGCTCTGTGCTGACAGCTCAGACAGAGCCTGGATCCTGCTTTGGATTCTGTGTCTCCCTCTCTCTCTGTCCCTCCCCCACTCACACTTTGTCTCTTTCTCTCTCTTACAAATAAAACATTAAAAATTTTTTTTAAATGTGGTTGTATTGACATCTCCTACACTGTTCAAACTCTAGTTCTGTATTTGTAGATCCCTCCTATTATCTAAAACAGGTGGCTTAACACAGTGGTTCTCAAACATCAGTGTCACAATAATCACAATAATGCTCACTTAATTGTAAGTAAAATTAGAAGGGGAATGTGACAAAAGATGAGTCCAAGATTTTGATCTGAGCATTTGGAAGGATGGAGTAGCCATTTAGTGAGATGTGGAAGATTGTAGGAGGAGAAACTTTGAGAGAAGGAGGATCAGGAATTCAGTATGGAGGCACCTGGGTGACTCACTGGGTTGAGTGCCTCTTGATTTTGCTCAGGTCATAATCCCAGGGTTGTGGGATTGAGTCCCTTGTTGGCTCTGTGCTGAATATGGAGCCTGCTTGAGATTCGCCCTTGCCCTTGCCCTCCCCATCCCCTCCCCTGCCTCCCTCCCTCCCTCCATCCCTCCCTCTCCATCCCTCCCTCCCTCCCTTTCCCCCTCTCCATCCCTCCCTCCCTCCCTTTCCCCCTCTCCATCCCTCTGCCCCTTTCCCTTGCTCCTGAGTGTGCTTTATCTAAAATAAATAAATGAATAAAAAGTTCAGTAGTGTGCATGCTGAGTTCAAGATGACTTTGATATGTGGGTGGAATTCAGGAGAGAGGTATGTGTAGACAGGAAGCTCTGGGAATGGATCAAATCATTACAAGGAAAGAGAAGAGGACACTCCTTTGCTTTAAAAAAATATTAATGAACTACTTTTAGAGGACTTTAGGTTCACAGCAAAATTAAGCATAACATACAGAGAGTTCCCGTATACCCCCTGTCCCTAGACACAAACAACCTCCTCCACATCAACATCCTGCAACACAGAGGTACATTTGTTACAATTGATGAACTTACATTGACACATTTTGTTTTTTATTTTAGGGAGAGAGAGAGAGAGAGAGAGAGCACTCGCACTCAGGAGCACAAGCAGGGTGGAGGGGGGTGGGGAGGAGGGACAGAGGTGGGGGGAGAGAGAGAGAGAGAGAGAAAGAAAGAAAGAAAGAAAGAAAGAAAGAAAGAATGAATTTTAAGCTCATCATGGAGCCCCCATGCAGGGCTGGATCCCATGACCCTGGGATCCTGACCTGAGCAGAAATCAAGATTTGGGTGCTTAACTGACTGAACCACCCAGGCACCCCATTCTCGCTTTGACACATTTTTATCATCTGAAGTCCATAGTTTAAATTAAGGTTTACTCTCAGTGTTTTACACTCTGTGGGTTTGAACAAATGTTTAATGACTGTATCTACTGTGGTATCATACAGAATAGTTTCACTGCCCTAAAAAAGTTCTGTATTCTATTTATCTACCTCACTACCTCACCTCTTCCCCCCCCACCTCCCGCCCCAACCTCTCCTGTCCCCAGGCAACCGCTGATCTTTTTACTGTCTCCATAGTTTTGCCTTTTCCATAATGTCATATAGTTGGAATCATAGTATGTAGCCTTTTTCTATTGGCTTCTTTCACTTAGTA